TAGTTCATCATTTAGACTTGGCAACCACTGTCTGAAAATTGAAACAGGCCGGCATACAGGATTGGATTTTAAAGACAGAGTCTGCAATATGTGCGACAATGACCATGTTGAAGATGAACAACATTTTGTCACAAATTGTCCTCATTACAATGAAATAAGATTAAAACTTTACATTGTAGCTAATAAACGTATACCAAATTTTGACAAATTTAGTAATGAAAATAAATTCATATCATTACTAAGTAACGAGATAATGTCAATTCCTTTAGCGCAATATTTAAAAAACTGTTTTAATACAAGACAGCAGCACCTACATAAACTAAGCCAGTAACACATTCCTTGTATTCAAATTATTATCTTTTTTTTTTTTTTTTATGCCTTTTTGTTCCTTTACTTTTTATGTGGTTATTTTTCTTTTACTAATATCTGATTTGTAACCCTTTTCATCCCCTCCGGGGGATGTTGTGTGTTAATAAATAAATAAATAAATAAATAAATTTTGGGTACAGAGATAGACAACGTAATATTTTCTCCTTCTACGGTAGGTGTGGAAATAGCAACTGTTAAAATACACAGTAACAAAAACTTGTTTAAGAATATAGAGCATTAAATACTTATCATACTAGTTTTGACACTTGAAAAAAGACTATGCAATGTCATTATGTAAATTAATGTCATTATATTGTAATCTGTGATCTCACAGACAGGGCGGATGTTACCTGACAATTGACATTCACATATTTACCTACATTTCAATAAAACAATGTCAATTCCTAATAAAATTATTACAAGTGTTGAACATACCAACCTTACGTTCTGTTGACGGAGTTGGAGTTGTTGCAGCCGGCCGAGCAACGATCTTCGACTCAGTCGCCTCCATATTAAACTAGGCGTTTTTCATTTCACCATTTAGCTCAAATTCGGTGTCAATATTCACGGAATTCCTGGCGGCTTATCCAACGGAAGCAGTTTAAAATGTGCAGTCCAGCAATCTTGGGTCACGTTTGCCGAGTTTAGGCTAGATTTTGTAGAAATTTGACGATTACGGACGACAGTAGCGAATAGCGCCTGCTTGGGTATGCTGGATTAAAGAGTAGCACTACACCAAGCTAATCCATATTGTTACACGCTGCCACACCACAAATAAAATCCCCCTAAAACGACTACAGGTGTGGTTAAAAGCCGCGAATTATGAATGTAAAGTAGGAAAAACGTAGTCAAAAGTGGCACAGACTTGCGGAATTGCACATATCTATGTAAAAATTGCAGAATGTGTTTTATGTTTTTCTTTAAAGTAGTGCGGATTGATTTTGTTGGATAAGCCAGTGCTGCGGCGTAGGATTAATGATCGTATAAATATCGGATCAGTAGTGCGCGAAGCCTTGGGAAAACAACGGCTTAAACAAACAAAACTAGCCATTTTGCGGTCTTTCAACAATTTCAAGCAATCATTGAAAGCCGTTGATTCACAAGAACTGTAAAATTAGAATAGTTCTTTTTTTGTCGTGTTTAAATTGTGAGATTTTGTCCCAGGATTATCCAAATCGCAGCTGATGCGAGTTCACGTGGTACGCGAGACTTTGTAATTGATTGAGAACTGCATGAGATTTCCACCCAAGATGGCGACTGTGTGTTACGTTTTGCTGCTCTCTGCAATCACAAATTTCGTTACAGCAGAACAATACAAAGATGGTGATCCGGTAAGTTTCATTCAACGCATCATTTATATATTCTACATTTTGCTTGTAAAGTATGTTTTGAAATATAACATGGACGGGCCAAAGAAAATTCTGTTTATGTGGGTTTACACCCAGTTTAACCGTGTTTGACTAGCTAGTGACACGTTGGAACTGATGACCACAGATGTTACATACAGCCGCAAGCAATGTAAAAATGGGTTTATCGTTGAATTATAACAAAGAAAATAGTCGAATTGCTCTCCTAATATGCAACTTGCTAGAACGGTGGAGTATTGAATGGTATAACTATAGTTGATATCCAGTATAGCTACTATGACTGCCCTTTGATGTTTGTTTTGTTGCATTATTTGTAATTCAAACTCTAATATTCAACTTGTCTCGAGTGCATGGCTTCAGTTTGCCAGCTGAACATAGTAAATTAACTTAATGTGATTCCCTTAATGTCAAATTCACCCTAGGAGGTAGAGTACAGGCCTGTCTCGTATGGTGTTAATTCTTAATGAGTTGCTATGTCTGAGGTACTCCCAATACCGTTGTTCACTGTGTGCTACGTGTACCTGTACACATCTATTTTTTCTTTCCAATTTTCACGATTTCTCAAACCTCTCACACTCTTAACATTGGAAAACCAATTTCAGTTTAAACCAAGAGTTGTTAACTCAGAAAACAGTGGTATTTGGTGTTCTATGTAGTAGTCATGTATCAGCTACAGTCCCTAAGGCATCATCCAATGTACCTTTTGATACCTTGACAAGGAGTCATTGCTACAATTGTACTGTCCAAAGGTTTGGTCAGACCTTGTCTACAGAAACATAATGTAAAAAGTACATGGGACTGACAAAATTAGGGTTCATAATCTTGTATTTGTCCTGCGCAGAGCAACCAAACTGATTACTGATTTCAAAGATTTACCATATTCCGAATGCTTAAAGCAAATGAACTGCTCATCATTGCCTCAGGTATACAAATTGTTGCATGAGCAAGTAAAAGTCACTACACCATTTTCATAACTGACAATTGCAATTACTACTAATTCTCATTCTCATAATCTGGCAGAAATCAGTGAATAAATTGTGAGACAAACTGACAGAATTACTGTGACTGTACATTTGTACCATCATCTAATGCTATTTATATTTTGCTATTTTTTAGGGAAACAACTTTAACCTTTTTACCACCAGTTCCCTCTTTTCATCACAAATTCACAAATTCACAAAATAGTCCTGTTTAAAGTGCCTGTGTAATGCCCCACCCTCACGTTTCCCATTTTAGATCTGTCTCCCACGGAAATGGGCAGTTATTGATTTTTTTGCTGAAAATGATTACTCGTATCCAAGTAAATTTCGGATATTTCTCGTGTTGTAGCCACGCCCACCTATCCTGAAACGGTCGACTGTTTCCGGATTTCCGACTCTCGCCGAAAGTGCGCCACCAAATGCCAAAATGTGAGAGGAAGTCATACCCCTGAGCCGTAATAACACTGGTCATTCAGTATACTTTTAAACGATATACATTTTTCAGTCGGCGTTTTTTTTTTTTTCGTTTTTTTTTTGTCTATTTTCTTTTTTTGAGAGACAGTTTTTAGATGTTGTGTTGTGGGCAGTTGCAGTGAAACGTATAGTCATAGTGTAAGGATTCACACGTTTCTAATCGATCCGAAGGCGTGACATCAGTGGACGAAAGCCACTTAACCTCAGATTCCATTTTTTTGGAAAAACTGTCCTCGTTCAACTAGGTTTAAAGAGAAACGCCGACAACATAAACCTGGCGCAACACTTAGATTCCAGACTATGATCACCGAGGCGGATTTCAGAAGAGAGAGAGACGTCCGGCAAGTGTTTCAAATGAGTTGACTTTTTTGCGATCGTGATTATTGTTTTATAGAGACCATTTCGTCCCTGTTAAGTAAAAGGTAGCAATAATTTTGACAGTGACACGAAAACGAAACGGGAAATTATATAGCCCTTACACACTGCTAATTAAAGGTTTCTGAATTGTTTGGTGATTGGTGTTGAATGTCGAATTCACACCTCTGTTCTTTTTTTCCTTCATGCTTGCAGCTTGATCTGCGTAATAATTTATAAAATAAGAATCCGGGCTTGGTCAATGTGTTTCCACCAAATAAAGTTTTAATATGATGTTATAATTATGACAATCACGCCATGGATCACGCTAACTCGAATCCACTCTGAATTTATCTGTATGCGTGTCGATCACGATTATTTTGGTTATCCAATTAAACGCCGCTTTTAACGCACTTGCCTTCGTCGTGACCCGACGCGTTCACCTATTTCAACAAAATTTCAATTCATTTCCATGCGGCTGTCATTTATTTAGTAACTGTGATTTGTCGTTTTTTTTTTAATTATTTTATAGTGATCACTATAGTCTAATGTTTAGAATGTCAAAAAATGTTCTCTTTTATTTTAATTTTGGAAGTTTTACCCAGACGATCGATGAAATAAAACAGTGTAGTGACGTGCCTAGTAACCTGCTAAATAACGAGATAATTCCGACATCAAATTCTATTTTGTCCAGCGACTGTGTACAGATGTGTGCCGCTGACGATCACGGTGACCAGCTACACCAGAACGGACATATTTCGCATCTAACTCAACCCCATGCAACAAAAATTGATACTATGTGTTCATTATGGTCCATTTCTCTTCGACGAACAAGTACATAAGTGAAAATTTAGTCAAAGACTAGAAAACTGCTGAAGAAATTTGCCTTATTTACACGTATCTGCAATGCAAGCTGACATCACAAGGGGAATTTCTGTATGCAAATAAGAAGCTAATGAGGAGCCTCGTTTTAAAAAACACAAAAATAAAGTTGCCGTAGATTGAGTTTAAAATGCATTTTTTCACTTTAAAAAATAATTCATGCTTAGAAACAAAGAAATTAATAATATTTATGTATCAATGGATAACTTTAGGCGTGAAAATAGCAGCCATTTCATGGGCACTTTAAATAGCCACTTTTTTTGAGTAAAAACTAAAAATTGACTAAAATTTTGTCTGTAGGCTCCAAAATTAAGGTTCATTAAGTATTGAAGAATATAAGAAAAAAGTTCAGAAAGTCTGGTAGTGAAGAGGCTAAAGTGTTCTATTATGATATTGTAGTTCTATCATGATATTGACTTTGCTATACACTGCATTATTTAATCTCCGGCTAGCACCACATTTGATGTACAATATGTGGTTAATTTATTAGAGAGATTTTGTTTAAGATTGTGATATTTATCCTTCAAACCCAAATTGAACTTGCATATATAATATAACATTATATAGCATTTTG